GCCTGTCCAGGTATTCTTCAATCTCTTACAATTGTACACACAAAATCTGCACTGTACCGCTATGTTATTTTGATTTCTTAAATTTACATGGCCACAAAATGCACACTGTTCATTACTATCTCATAAACTATAGATGGGTTGTTCCACAAGATCACTCATAGTTTGAGATCATAATGATTGGGATCCCTTATCCTACCCCTGAATGAAATTCCTAGTGGTTGTGTTTTGAACTTGCTGAACTAAGCAAAATATTGTCATGTTGTACTGATTGGGTTTGTTGCAGGATAATTTTCCTGCAAGAATCAGTTAAACTATGTGAATTGAGGGGTGCATGGGAGTAAAAGGCTTATGGCATGTGAGAAAATTGTATGAGTAGAGGGCAGCACTGGATGAGAATAGCTATGTATGTGAGCAGAAATAAGTACCTGTCAGAAATACATTTTCATTATAGGAAAATTATAACTTCTGCTGTCTTCTTTCTCTAATAGCTCATTTCTCAATTTTTTTTGTCATGTTTGTAGACTTTCTTCATTTCCTTTCGTTGGTGTCTCTCTGGCAAGCTTGGGAAAAATGTCCCATACCAGCTATTTCACTTTCCCATTTCTCATTTTTGTTTTCATCTTTCTCTCTCAATCTTCCTGTATTCCCTCTTCTAACTTCACCTTTTAGCCAAAGCAATTTTTCATGCTTCAGATGGGCCTCTGTAGATTCCTTCCATTTTATATTTAGCCTGTTCCACTTCTTTAGCTCAATCCCTCTGGACTTTGTTCCCCTGCTGATGGGACACATTGGGTTAAGTTATGTCCTTTCCTCTACTTCTCCCTTTTTCTTGTGTACTTATTATTAGTCTGGCTTCATTTCTTTGCCCAGATATATTCAGTGGTGCTCCTTTTCTCTGTAATTTTTACAGATATTATAAGAGTTTGTCCCCATTACTTCTCAGCTTTTTTCTTTTCTTTCTTGCCCTTTACTTCTATTTCTTGTTTAGATCAATTTCCTCCTAAACTTCCCATTCAGGATTCCTGGCCTTTCTCTTTTTCTTTTCTTCCCCCTTGTTTTTGTCAGTGACTATTATGCAGATACAATTCTTGGGTACCCATCTCTTTTCCTGCTGTTAATCGCAATTTCCAATGGCAGTCATTTTACATTTCTCCACTTTGGTCTATTTCTTTGCTATATCTCTCTTCACTTCTCTTTCTTTTCTTCTCCCTCTGATCCCAGTCTGCAATTGGCCATGGTTGATATGTCGGACACCTTCGTCCACATCTTCCTCAGCTTGTCCATCCTTTTGTGTACTCCCATTTCTTGCTCTTCCCTTTGACTTAGCATTGGCTCTTCTTGTATTCATTAGTATTCTGCAGGCTTTTGTTTGCCACATTCATGACCCGAGTCTGATTTTCTCTTTCTTTGACTATCTATATCTGTTAGCTCATTCTCAGATGTTTCCTCTTCTCCTACCTCCCTTCATTTACAATGGCTACTATGTTGGTTGGAGATTGTTTTTGGATCTAAGTCCTTTCTGACACCTACTGACTAATAATTATTGGAGACATCTTGAATGGGTAATGAAGAAAAGAAACAAACATAAACAAACGAAAAATCAAAGAATCCATCTTAATTGAACAAAACAACCCTACTCTAAACCAACACCCTTGGGTGCCAAGATACCTCTTTTAAGTCGTGCAACAATATCCAGACATGTGTTTCAACTTTTTCTTCATTACCCTTTCAAGCCATCTCCAAGCATTATTAGTCTCAAAGTGGGTTTCTCGTCATCGAATTTGAATATGCCTACTGAGTGTTGGGTACTTTGGGGCATTTTCTTTCTCTTTCATCTCAACCAAGTTTAGCCCATTTCTTTGTCTGCAAGCTATGATCTATCTTGTCACCAACTTTACCACTTCTCATTCTATCATGGCTGAGAGGTTCTTTCACTTTTGGGGATTCTGGCTTCTCTAGAACCTCATAATTTTTTGGGATCATTCCCTCATGTATCTACTACAGTGGAGCTTATGGACCCAAGGTTTGTTCCAGTGTCTAAACTGTACTTCCTGCTCTGATTGATGTACATTTTTTAATGTGGGCAAAACTTTCTCACTCTTCCTTAGGCATGTTCCCATTCCTTCCCCCAACTTGTGGTTCATTTCATCATGTTCTATCCAGTTTGCTTGATAATCTTTCTTGGTCCATCCATCCTTGAGACTCCCATTCCAGGGCATTTTGTTTTTGACCATTAACTGTACACTTCTGTGTCCATTCACATCATTTACTGGGTGCTTCATTCTTGGTGGCAGACTGCCTCTATCAGCCAGTCTGTATTCTGTCAACAGAGTAGTATGTACACTCCCAGGTCTTCCTTAATGTTTACTCTTGTTTGAATATGCCCCTCTTGAATGCTCTTTCCACCCTTCTCATCTCTGGGCTTCCGTTCTTATGGTCTTCAATTCCTCATTCTTCAGCTCTGGCTATTGATTTTCTCAACCAGGCCTGCTCTTATTTTTTACTCTGTACCTACTACCTAACTTGTATCTTCTTTTTTGGGCCTTGATTTACACATTATTCTCCTTGGGCCTTATTGTTCATGCTTCTTTGACCACCTCAGACTTGGTCCTCTTGACATTCAGACCCTTCTTTCTTCCCTTTGTTGTACCCTCTTACTACACATTTTCACACTTCTTCATAGAGGGATATCCTTCCCCCCACCCAATCTATCACCCATCAGGCCAAAGTTTCCACTAATGTGGCATTATTTTTGTCCCATTGTTGTTGTTCTTGTACTGTATTTGTCTCTCAGGTCTTTTGTCATTGGTCCTTCAGCCATCCCTTTCTTCCTGGCAGTAATTTTGTGCACTGCCTTTCTTACCTGACTGTTTGTCAATGGCTCCTCAGTCTTAGTCTTTCTTAGTTGTCAGGTGGCTCTGTCCATGGCCTTTTTCCTTTCATAACACCAAGGTTTCTTCCCCTGTTCTCCTCATTTTGTTCCATTCCTTCATTCTCCTACATGTTCCTCACCCAACTCCCTTGCCTTACTGAGACCTTAATGAGGTTTTGCACAATTTCTTGCATGTCCCATTTTGGCCATTGACTTCCTTACTTTTGTAACATCTTTCTCTTCTGACTTGTTTCCTCCTGTTAATACTAGAAATAATACTGAACTAAATTAAACAAAAACAAAATTTTGGTGTTATAAGGTTGTTTATTTCTAGTATTAATATGTCTTCTATTCACCAATATGCACTACATAATACATATAATGTTGTTACTTTGTACCTTTCTCCTACCGTTACAGTTCTTCTGATGGCTTTCTATAGGTGCTTCTCCCACACTCCTCCACTGCACTTAACTTTTCCTTTTCCTGGGTTGATTCTTTCATCCTTGGACTTTGACAGCTCAGGAGGTAAACCATACTTATCTCCATGCCTTGTGTCTCTCACAGCTAGAGTCTGATCTTAGAGTTGAGGTGTGCACACAAGGTATGGCTTGAACATGGACCAACCACATTATTACACATATTGACTGTCCAACAGCTAGAGTCTGATCTTAGAGTTGAGGTGTGCACACATGGTATGGTATGAACATTCACCAACCATATTATTACATGTATTGACTGTCCAACAGCTAGTCTGATCTTAGAGTTGAAGTGTGCACACAAGGTATGGTATGGACATTCACCAACCATATTATTTCATGTATTGACTGTCCAACAGCTAGTCTGATCTTAGAGTTGAAGTGTGCACACAAGGTATGGTATGAACATGCACCAACCATATTATTACACATATTGACTGTCCAACAGCTACTCTGATCTTACAGTTGAAGTGTGCACACAAGGTATGGTATGAACATGCACCAACCATATTATTACACATATTGACTGTCCAACAGCTTGAGTGCAAGTACTCAAACTGTCATGTTCACATTCTGCCTGTCCCTGCAATATAGAAATGGTTTCTTTGCCTTTTCCATCTTTTCTATATTGGCTAAGGGTATGCCCTGGATGGCACGAGATACTGTGTTCCATGAATGTACCCCTATGGAGTCCCTCACGGGGCTCATCTATATAATTTTTGTGCAAGTCCTTTCACCATTTCAATGTGCCATTCAACGTAAACTGTGAGTTAACATTTTCATTACCTGAAAATGTATTTCCAGTAGATACTTCTGTACACATTTCTGTTGTACCTTTGATTGCATGTTGACATCATCATGCAGTAGCACAATTCACTTGAAAATAGTTGCCTCTAAGTTAGTGCCATACAAATATCTTTGGTAGATGCACAGAGGAAGATAACTAAACTGGGTGAGGAGGTAAGTATCTATCAGAAATATATTTTTAGTTAAGGCCATACTTTCAAAGCTTATGCTATTACTGTCAGTATAACGGGTATATCCTACTAAAAAAAACGATGTTTGTATCATTAAATTACTTGATAAGATACTCAGTCAATAATAATTCTAAGATAATACTTTCAAATCTTATACTATTACTGTCAGTATAACAGGTATACCTATGAAAAAAAAAGATGTTTGTGTCATTAAATTACTTGATAAAATCCTCAGTCAACAATAATTCTAAGGCCATACCTTGAAAACCTATGCTATTACTGTCAGTATAACAGGTGTATCCTACTAAAAAAATTGATGTTTGTATAATTAAATTACTTGATAAGATCCTCAGTCAACATTAATTCTAAGACCACACTTTGAAAGCTAATGCTATTACTGTCAGTATAACAGGTGTATCCAATAGGATATACCTGTTATACTGACAGTAATAGCATAAACTTTGAAAGTATGGCCTTAGAATTATTGTTGACTGACGATCTTACCAAGTAATTTAATGATACAAACATCAGTTTTTTTAGTAAAAAAAACTGATGTTTGTGTCATTAAATTACTTGATAAGATCTTAAAAATTTTCTGATTTTACTGTTTCAATTCTCAATTTGTATTTTGATGTTTTATTCTTATAACAAAATTTCGTACATTGTTATTTGTAGCCAAAATTATCCTATTCCGATGTTGATGATGATTATGAACCAAACCTTATTAAGAAGCTATCTTCAAAATCTAAACACAGTCGTAGCACAGCAGGAAAGGTAAGATAATGTACTTCTAAGTTTTGTTTGTTAGTTTCATCTCTGATAACTACAACAGGTATCACAAATTTTATGTATTTACTTATTTATTATACCTGGTGTGTGTGTGTGTAGTTGTCTTTATATACTTGTTTATCAAGAGTTTCAGGCAGCCATTGTTGAGGAGAGTTATAATTATTATTATTACAAATCTTGTTGTTTCCGGAGACTGGCCTGTCTTTACACTGTTTGATTAACACCTTGAATATATTGGATCTTGTTATTTCTATAGACTAGTCAGTCTATGAGGGAAGTCTTTACACTGTTTGTTTAACACCACGAATACACAGGATCTTGTTATTTCTATAGACTAGCCAGTCTATGAGGGAAGTCTTTACACTGTTTGTTTAATACCATCAATACACAGGATATTGTTATTTCTATAGACTAGGCAGTCTATGAGGGAATCCTTTACACTGTTTGTTTAACACCATCAATACACAGAATCTTGTTATTTATAGATGCTAGCCAATCTATGAGGGAAGTCTTTACACTGTTTGATTAACACCTCGAATACACAGGATCTTGTTATTTCTGGAGACTGGCCTGTCTTTACACTGTTTGTTTAACACCACGAATACACTGTGTTACGACAGCGGAGGTCATGTGATGCTGGTAACATGTAATGAGTATCTAGAAAGATCGAGGAACTTGTCGAATGTCCTAGCGGTTGCTAGAATGGCACTCTTATAGTATATAGGTCGGTAAATAAAGTGACGGAACAATGGAATAGCAGACAGAGAGATTGAAAATATAGACAGACAATTGAGTCAAGCGTGGTAGTAAGTAAAGTGCGTGAATCCTTCATTGTGAATTATAGCGTGTGTGTATTGCAAAGTTATATTGAGAAAGAATAAACTAGTTTTATTTAAGAAAGGACTTGTATCGCTGAAGTTCATCGGAAAGAAATTTTACAAGCAATTAACTAACGACCACAGACGTTGGTGTCAGATAGTGGGACGAAAAAGAAAATGGAAACGAGAAGTGGCAAATCAAACTAAAGATAAGCAGATTTGATGGCAGCAATACAAGAACAGCAAAAGAAACAAGAAGAACGAAAAAATAAACAAGAAGAGAGATTACAGCAGTGGTTGGAGGAAAAAGAAAAGAAACAAGAAGAGAGACAACAGCAGTCGCAAGAAAACCTGCAACAGTGGCAGCTGGAACAGCAAAATAAACAAGAGAGATTACAGCAGTTGTTGGAGGAAAAAGAAAAGAAACAAGAAGAGAGATTACATCAGCTGTTGGAGGAGAAAGAAAATAAACAAGAAGAGAGACTACAGCAGTGGATGGAAGAGACAGAAAATAAACAATAAGAAAGTCTCCAACAATTGAGAGAAAGCCAGAGTACACAAATGGAAAACAGTAAATTTCAAAGCGAATTAAATACATTAAAGAATGATTTACTGTCTTATACACAAGGAGGATATATTAGCCTCGACCTAATCAGCCTCAGACAACAGGAAGCCCCTTCCAGACCCCACAGCTAAACCCTAATGCAGACATCTTCAGTCCTGTAAGAAGTCACATCCCAGATATGAATGTCAGCAATAGAGGTGACCTAGTATGAAGGAAGCCACAGGAATTCGATGGAAAGGCACCGTGGGAAGCATATAGAGCACAATTTGAGCTCCTGGCAGAGATGAATGGATGGACAGAGGAGCAGAAAGCAGTATATCTGGCAACGAGCTTGAAGGGACAACCACTGGAAATACTTGGACCATTGTCAGCAGACGACAGGCACAACTATAGAGCACTGGTAGCGTTTCTAGAACTCAGGTACGGAACCCAAAATCAGTCTGAAGTCTACAGGGCTAGGTTTAGGACGAGAGTCCATGCTAAAGGGGAGAGCCTGCAAGAGATGGCACAGGAATTGGAAAGTATAGCACACAAGGCCTACCCAACTGCACCACCTGATCTCCTCATGTTGTTGCTGAGGGATCAGTTTGTAGATGCCTTGGACAGTCCACAACTGAAGATACAAGAAACCAAGACACCCTTCTACTATGCAGGATGCAATGGCCAGAGCTCTTGAATTTGAATCATATGTTAAGTCCAGCACAGAGGTACCAAGGTTGGAACAGTCATCAGGATTTAAGGCCAGAAAAGGGCAGCTTTCAGAGAGGTTTGAGGGACTTTGCTGGCACTGTAATAAACCTGGGCACAAGAGAGCTCAATGCCAGCAACTTCAATACAGGGAAGATGCCACGGCAGGAAAGGCTGCTACCCAGAAAGGTTGTTGGAACTGTGAAGAGCAAGGACACACGAGGAGCCAGTGTAAGAAGAATATTACGAAGAAGTCGGCTTTGGGAAACCGGTAGTGGTTGGTGCTGAGGGACGCCCACCAACCCCCATCATGAAAGTCCCAAGAGCTGAGTGTAAAATGGCAAGCACACATAGTGTCTATGTGACATGAAAGCTGGATGGCCAAAGGTGCAACTTTGTCATAGATTCTGCATCTCAGCAAACCCTTGTGAGTATCGCTGTGACATGCAGATCAACGGATGCAGCAACACTTACTGGAACACGTTATTTTATCGAAGTTAACTACACACTTCCTCAGTAGTAAATAGTCCAATCCTAATAAGCATTGGTTTTCAATGTCAGCCAAGTATACTTTCTGTCTGTTTTTCATGCCCATCAGCTCGATAGTTACCCACACTGGTCCCCACAACATTGCATAAAGTTCTGTCACACCACAGAGCTTCTGTACAGCTTCTGGTACTCCTTTGTGATCCAGCACTTTAACTTAAGTCAACTACAATACCTCCTATGTCAGAGAAGATAATTTGGGGTAGGATAAAAGAACATCCCCAAGGAAGCCCAATGCTTGTGGAAGCAGTGGAAGACCCATTCAGGCCAGCAGATTTAAAGATTGGAAGGTCATTTGTGGCAGGTCATCAAGTAGCACCTAATAACAGTGGCCAATTTCTCTAAATAAGAGCAGACACTTAAGGAAGGGGCATTGTTGGGTGTGTGCCAGGAGGTAGAGCCAGTCAATGTTAAAGCAAGAAATATAACTGTAAAAAAATGGACATACACTACCAGAACATTTAACTGACCTATATAAGAAGAACATAGTCCATTTGGCATCATCACAGGCTCTTCAGGT